AGTCTGGTTACAGCCCTTGAAAGTAGACCAGATGCTGATCAGACTTTGGAGCTTGTTAAGCAGAAACTGATCGACGAGCACCAGCGTCGCCGTGAGCGTTCGGCGGATGTTGGCGAAAAGGCCATGAAGATTCAGAACAAGAAGAAAAGTGAAAAAGTTTGCTACCATTGCCGCAAACCGGGGCATTTTCGCCGAGATTGTGTGCAGTTGCAGAAGCAAGAGAAGAGCAGTGGTGGTGTTTCGAAGAAGAAATCGGGCAGTGCAAATGCGAAGCAGGCTGCAGTGCAGAGAGTGACAGTGCGATTTGTTTTGTGGCTGGAGCAAAATGTAGTGGACCCTGGATTGTCGATAGTGGTTGTTCCAGCCACATGACAAACGACAAAACGTTCTTCGATAAACTGGACACCAATGTGCGAATGAAAGTGGTCCTGGCCGATGGATCAGAGACAATGTCGGGTGGACTCGGTAGTGGCACGGTGAAGTGTGTGGGTGGAGATGGAACTCTCATGGACATTCCGTTCAAAGACGTGCTCTACGTACCGTCGCTGGAAAGTGGACTTCTTTCGGTACGGAAGTTAGTGAAGAAAGGACTAAATGTGGAATTTAGTGATGATCGATGTGAAATCATATCGGTGGCAGTAGCGGAACCCCGTGGAAATTTGTTCGCCTTGAAAGTTGCAGTGAAAGCTCGGCTGGGCAAGGAGGCTCGACACCTGCAGAACTGCCAGCATACCTGGCACCGTCGGTTCGGTCACCGAGATCCAGCGGCGCTGGATGAGATCCGGCGAAACGAGCTGAGTGAGGATTTCAAGGTTCAGGATTGCGGGATCAGGCTGGTTTGTCAGAGCTGCCTTGCAGGTAAATCTTCCCGAATTCCATTTCCTAAATCAGCGAGCAATCGGACCCAACGTGTTCTTGACGTCATTCACACTGACGTGTGCGGTCCAATGAAGAACGTAACGCCGGGGGGTGCCCGCTATTTGATGACCAAATAGATGATTACAGCAGGTACAGTGTGGTGTGCCTACTGCGGCAAAAAGGTGATGTGGCAGATTGCATTAAACGTTTTGTTGCGCACGTCAAGAACAAGTTTGGTCGGGCTCCATGCGTTATAAGATCCGATGGCGGGGGTGAATACACCAGCCATGAGTTGAAGACATTTTACAAGCGGGAAGGCATTCAGGCGCAGTATACCGCGGCTTACTCCCCTCAACAGAATGGAGTGGCCAAGTGGAAAAACCGCTCACTCCAGGAGATGGCAACCTGCATGCTGCTGGACGCAGGATTAGATAAAAAGTACTGGGGGGAGGCGGTAGCCACCGCTTCGTATTTGCAAAACAGATTGCCATCTCGTGCTGTTGATAGAACTCCTTTCGAAAGGTGGTTCGGCAAGAAACCTACACTAGCTCATTTGAAAGTGTTTGGTTGTCCTGCGTTCGTCCACATCCCGGACGTTAAACGTTCCAAGCTAGACAGTAAAGCCCAGAAGCTGATTTTCGTGGGTTACTGCAGTGATAGGAAGGCTTACAGGTTCTTGAACACCGAGACAGATGCAATCACCATTAGTCGTGATGCTCGGTTTGTGGAGATTCAGGAGGAGCCACCGACGCCTGGTGGGCTGCCTCCAACGGAAGAACTTGTTGAAGTCGAGATCACGAGCAACGGAAGTCAGCAGCAAGAAGATGTGTCAAGTCCTGGACAGTCTCAAAGCGAGGACGAATCGGAAGATTACACGGATGCCGAGCAGGAACAGCCCGATCAAACGGATGCGCCAGTGCAAGAAGGTCAAAAGCGGAGCACCCGAGGCGTGCTGCCAAGGCGGTTCGCCGACTATGAAGTCAACGCAGCCATGTTGGTGCAGGAGGAGCCAGTGTCGTACGAAGAAGCCATATCTGGTCCAGAGCAAGGCTGTGGAAGGCCGCGATGACGGAAGAATACCAGTCGCTGATGGAGAATCGAACATGGACACTCGTTGAGCTACCTGCTGGTCGTGCTCCTATAAGCTGCAAGTGGGTATATAAGAAGAAGCACGACAGCGTGGGCAACGTGTCTCGGTTCAAAGCGCGACTTGTAGCAAGAGGGTTTTCGCAGAAGTTCGGAGTCGATTATGATGCCGTTTTTGCTCCGGTGGCAACTCAGACGACTTTGCGGATTCTCCTAACGATCGCTGGACAGAAGAAGATGTCAGTTCATCACCTGGACGTCAAGTCTGCTTATCTACACGGCAAGCTGAAAGAGGAAGTGTACATGCAGCAGCCTAAGGGATTTGTAGTTCCAAAGAAAGAGAAACTGGTCTGCAGAATCGAGCGCAGCCTGTACGGCCTAAAGCAGGCGGCGCGTGTGTGGAACTTTACTATCAGTTCGATGCTGAAAGAGCTTGGTTTCTCGCAATCGGGATCAGATCCGTGCCTGTACGTGAAGGCGTTGCCGGACGGCGGAGTCGTGTACCTCGTTATCTATGTTGACGACATGGTAGTCGCGAGCACAACTCAGAAGGAGATCAAGCGAATCGAAGCTGAATTGCAGAAGAAGATTTCTTTGACTTCGCTGCGAGAGGTAAACCAGTTCCTTGGAGTTCGAGTGTCAAGAGACCGTGAAGGGTACTTCTGTTTGGACCAGAACGTTTTCATCCAGGTGCTTGCGCAGCGTTTCGGTCTGCAGAACGCGAAAGGCTCGAGTATTCCGCTCGATCCTGGGTATTACCGCAGTCGGGTAGGCAGCCCGAAGCTGGACACGAACCAGCACTACCACAGCCTGGTAGGTGCGCTGTTATATGTTGCAGTGAATACAAGGCCGGACATCACCGCAAGTGTTTCGATCTTGAGCAGGCAGGTTAGCAACCCAACGGAGATCGACTGGGTCGAACTAAAACGCGTTGTACGATACCTGTTGAAGACTGCCGACTACAAGCTGAAACTGTCAGCTGCGAACGATGATCCATTAACTCTCATTGGTTACTGTGATGCAGACTGGAGTGGTGATCCTTCGGACCGCAAGTCAAATTCGGGATACATGTTCCAATTGGGAAGAGCTACGATTTGCTGGGCAAGCCGCAAGCAAACAAGCGTGTCTTTGTCTAGCATGGAGGCCGAGTATATGGCACTGTCGGAAGCATGTCGAGAGTTGGTTTGGCTCCGGCAGCTTCTTGAAGAGATTGGGGAACCTCAACGTGAACCAACTGTAGTACTGGAGGACAACCGCAGCTGCATTGATTTTGTGGAAACAGATCGCAAGTCCAGACGCTCGAATCACATAGATACTAGGATGCACTACACCAAAGATCTAGCTGACAAGGGAGTAATGGTGCTTCGTCACTGTGGCACAGAGGAGATGGCTGCAGATGTCCTAACGAAGCCGTTGGGTCCTGTTAAGCAGAAACGTTTTGCGCTGGTGATGGGCTTGGTCGCTACCGATGATCCGGCCACACCGGCTGCGTGAAGAGAGAACATCGAGGAGGAGTGTTAGATATAAAAGGCGGGGGCGATGTTTCTATCAACGCCGTCACTGCACCCCAATGCTGCCAACGTCAAGGTAACGATCACTTTATCATTCTCTGTCAATAACCGAACAATAAAGACGTGTTAAGCTAATAGTCCGTGTTGCGTGTTATTTCACTGTCGCGAAACGCCATTGGAACTTCGGTCGGTTGTGTTCTCCGTGCTGCGCTACCTGTTGGGTTGTCCGGTTCTGTAACCGGTCCGCTGGTGTCCCACAACTTCACCCCCGTACTAAATGTACCATGTACAAGACGCTGATAAGACCGGTAGTTCTCTACGGGCACGAGACGTGGACGATGCTCGAGGAGGACCTGCAAGCACTGGGAGTTTTCGAACGACGAGTGCTCAGGGGTATGTGAGAACGGTGTATGGAGGAGAAGGATGAACCACGAGCTGGCGCAACTCTATGGCGAACCCAGTATCCGGAAAGTCGCGAAAGCTGGACGGGTAGGATGGGCGGGACACGTTTTAAGAATGCCGGACAACAATACTGCAAAAATGGTGTTTTCCTCGAATCCGGCCGGTACAAGTCGATGAGGAGCCCTGCGAGCAAGGTGGTTAGACCAAGTGGAGCAAGATGTAGGAACTGTGGGACGCTCGAGAAATTGGAGACAAGCAGCCAAGGACCGAGTTAGTTGGCGTAACATTGTGACACAGGTGCAATCCTGTATGTGGACGTCGGACCTAGAAAAGAAGAAGAAGACTATGTGACGACTCTCTCCGTCTTCTAAGAGCACGTGCAAAAAAAGCTGCTTTGTACAATCCGAGCCCGGTAAAGCGTTTTCAAAAATTGATGCGCTAAAGGAAAAAATAGCTTACATGATGGAAGTCGTATTCATTCTCCGAAGCTACATGCGGGCTCGAGAATTTCTAGATAGATCTAGAAAAACTTTCCCTATCCGATGGTTATATTGGTCTGCGTGGGCGCACCTTGAATTCCTAGAAATCATCGATAGAAGTCATTGTTTACAAAAGCTGTTGCGCCCTAATTCCAGATTTATGAGTCATTCTTCAACCGAACATTCTACTGCACTAGGCTCTGATCGTCACAACAAGAGACATTTTTCATTGTTTCTAACAAATGTCGATGATGGTGTGACTGAGGAGAAGATCAGTGAAATGGTATCGCGATCACTAAGAGTCGAGAAAAATTAAGTGATCAGCGTAAAAAACTGGTGCCAAAATGGAAGTCGAATGATAATCTGACCTATGCTCATTCAAAGTTCTGTTGTAAGATAAGCTAAAACTGACAGCTCTGCCAGAAGATTCTTGGCCCGCTGGAGTAAAGTACTGAGAATTTATTGAACGTCCACTTTGGAAGTGTCCAAAACTCAATGCTAAACTAGGGTAAACGTACATTATGCACATTCAATCTTACCTGAATCTACAAGACGACGAAACGTCCACTCTTCCATCGATCGTATCGATTCCAGCAGCAAGTTAGTCGGGCATTCTTTCCCATTCTAAGCAAGACAGCAACCACCTCGGTGAATTCTATATCGGTTTCGTTCATACTTTAAAATTGTATATATTACTTAATGAAAATTGTAATCAATACAAGCTTATCGGTTATTTATCCCCCATCTACTACGCTATACGATGCTGATTAATGTATTGAACGAAACGCCCCACCCCACCCCGTCGTCGCCAGGCTCAGGATCACTATCTATCCAACCCAAGGCCCAGAGGCCCCGGCAGATGTCAGTGTCCCTCCCTCGAACTTGCTTACTCTTAGTTCTCTCTTCTTAGTTTGTTTTGTTTTGTCACTCGCACACACCCGGAAGCTCCCGCCCTGGCAAATACCAGGAAAAATTACACTTTTAAATCCACCAGATTGGCAGAGATTAGGCTGGGCGGGAGGGAGTCACTTCACAACAATTCACTGTGTTGTTCCAATTTATATCAATAAGTAGTCTATTTCACTGTCTCTTTTCTTACTTTCTTTTTTTTTTCTCTCTAAACAGTCGACTTCAAACCACATTCACTTACTGCTTATGCGTCAATTCGGCTTGCGCTTCGGTGACCGATTTCATGTTTTCCTGAACCAGAGTCAGGTTGGCTTTCCACGCGTGCAGCAAATCACGCAACTGTTGCCACTGGGGCCGACCGAAGGTCCGGTGCATGGTGCTCGAGATGTGCACCTTGCGAGCCTTCTGGTCCATACGGGCGCGGACCAGTTTCGTCTTGAGCACCTCAATGATAAACGGTTCCACCTCGTTTTCACCGATCTGCAGTTCATCCTGGAGCTGTTGGAAGGTCATCTCCGGATTGCTTTCCGCCAGTTGCATGAACGAAAGAAGGCGCATCTTTTTGATGTTTTGTTCGTGGTTAAGTCCTGAGGAATCAATTAGTTGAGACTCATCATCTTAAACAATAACCTAATATTTAACTCACCCTGAGAATTGACAAACTCCTTGTGGTTCTTGTAGAACTGCAGATAGCTAGGAAGCTTCTCCGAAACGAACACCGACAGCAGATCGTGGATTAGTTCGCCCTCAAGGAACCGGACCGGCTTCAACGATAGCAGGGGATCCAACAGGAAAGTGTTCGGATCGGCCAGCGCCGTCACGATACACTTCATGGCATCTTCACGGGCGTAGGAAGCATTCTCCGCCGTGTACGTTCCCAGCAGTTCGATCATCACCTTGGAAGCCAGCTCACTGTTGGTGTCCTTCAGAACGTCATGCAATAACCGGTAGAGCTTTTGCATTTGCTCGTTCGATGGTGGACACTGGGTAAATTGTGCCTTGAGTTGATCCACACCGGAGAACACCTCCTTAACCTGATCGGCCCGCTTTGCCACTTGAACCAGGTGATAGTAGACGTGGTACCGAAGCGGTGAGGTCGGTTCCAGATTACTGAACAGGCGCCACAACCTTACAAACGATACACAATAGCATTTTGAAATCTAAAAACTCATCACATAATTTGAAGCAAAACTTACGACTGCAGGCAAACCCGAGCCAGGTTGGTATCCGGGGCCTTGGTCATCTTCTCGCAGAAGGCCAAAATTAGATTCTCCCCACGTTCCAGCGGAATCGAAACGACAATCGAGACGACACTGTTCAGCACGGCATCGATCTCCTCGACCGTGTGCTGGCCATCCTTGAAGCACACATCGCACACGCCGATAATCTTGTGCAGGTCATCTTCGATGCCTTTCGAGGATTTCTCCTCGCTTATCTCCGCACCCAGGGATTTGAAGAACTTCCGCAGTTCTTGCGCCTAGGAAAACAAAAACCATTAATAAACAGGAATAAGAAGACAGCCGATAACCTCAAACTTTCTACAGGGCCCGCAGCTCGCAGATCTCGGAAACTTGTAAACAAAATTTCACCCACAGAGCCGACCCCGGCGGTCAAGCCGCCATACAATTCACGTTACCCACCTGATCCTCGATCTCGGCGTCGATAAATACGGCTGGACCTTGCATTTTGCAGCTGGTTATTCGGGAAATTCGCTGACACCGAGAACCGCAACACGTCGCGAAAAATGAAAGCAACTAGCTGGAAAAGAGCGATTTTGACGTTTCATGAAAGCAGCCAGCCGAGCGCACCGATGACACGCACACAATCATATACTCATCTGAAACTGTCAAAGCGGAATGATGTCGGTACAGCAGAACAAAAGAGAACATAGAACAAAATTTGATAATGTTGACGCCATCAGAAACTCCAACATAACGTGTCAAAAGGACGTAAAACACAAAAATACATAAATCGATGTTTTGCTTATCCAGCATTTTACGAGCACTCATGGCCGCCACAATCTGGTTGAGTTTCTGGTAGGGAACATATGATTTGAAGTTTGGCTTGTGTCGTTTGACCTGTAAATGGTCGAATTAGATCGTTTATATGTCAATCGACATAACCCAAACATCAAGTCGAATGTTCCCTATACACACTTAGTTTATTTCACCGAGGCTGGTAAAATAAATTGCCGAGAAACCAACAGCCGAAATTTCGTTAAAAAATTCGGTAAAAGTATAGAATACCGAACGCTTGGTAATTATCAGTTTTATTCAACTGTCAAATTTTACCGAAAACATCGGTACTTGTATCAACAATCAATACGAAACTAACGATTCTAAATTGGTTCACTACTTGACTAGCCTATTAGTCCCAAGCAAATCGATTAACGTACCCCATTCTAGTCAAAATTCTAGTACTACTCAATGTTTGTTATGATTCGCTATGAAAGTTTGACAGATAAAATGAGGGGTTATTGAATTTTCCTATGTTTCGAGGGGTGATTCGACTAGCTTGGGACCGAAGATAGTACCAGAGCTGAGCCAAAAAGTTGAGTACGTTATTTCGGGACCTTCTAGTCTTAGAGTTACCTCTATGCTTGTATGCCGAGCGTTCAGCTTTTATTTTACCGAAATACCTCAAAACAAGAATAAATCTTTTACCAATCCTTCGGCAAACCGTGCATGGACATATTTAGCTTTTGCCGACTATCGTTGAAATTTCAACTCAAATTAATTGGATTATTCAGAATAGCAATAATAATAATACAAAATTAGTGAAAATTCCGTAAACAAGTCTTTATTCAAGTTATTCTCACAATGACACATTCTTTCTCACTCTTCCACTCACCCATCAGCGTGCCCCGGGACTAGTTGTTTGAAGAAAAGGCAGCATAAGCCATCTCCTATCTGTATAAATCTGTAAATCTGAAAACAAATAAAGATTTATTACTTACAGAATAGTTGACGCAGCACCACCTTCATCATCGATTTGCCGCAATATTTACTCCATTTTACACGCGCAATCTTAAAGCAACACAACAGACGACTTGCTCTCTGCCAAAATGGCTGACAATAAATGTGCATAACTGACAGATACTTGCTCTTATTTTCAATTGCCGAGGTTCGTTACTTTTTATTACCGAAGTCGGTGAAGCAAGATTTTAACGAAATTCATGGTAAACCATTACCGAATTTCAGTAAATACTTTCGTATAACCAAAAATCGTTAATTGTATATACCGATATTCAGTAAAAACATGTTTTCTAACGATAAATCAGCAAAAATCGCGTTTTACCGATTAAGTTCAGCAATCAATTTAACCGAGATAAAAATATAAGATTAAGTGTGTAGGTATATCAGAAACTCAATCGGATTGTGGTGGCCATCAGCGCTCGTAAAATGCTCGAAATCTCATACAAAATACTACATTTTTCACCAGCGTGAAAAACACAATACGCAAATATTTCACTTTTCTTTGAATTGTAAACAGATGATCAAGTGAAACCGAATTTTGTGGCTCGCATCTTTGTCGTTTACGTTTACTTTTTTCACGCATGCAGCTGCTCGTGAAAAGAATAGCAGCTAATACCATAGAGGTAACTCTAAGACTAGAATCACTAAAGTCTCATGATCGGTTATTTTCAAATCAGTATATCCGTAACTGAACAAATGGAATCAAAATTGGAATAAACGTGGTCAATTAAAGTTCTACTGTGCCTGGAAATACGCGTATACTCATTTACCGTTTGCTTTAAATTAAAAAAAAAAACTCAGCTAAAGGCTTCAAATGATTAGAATTATGGTTATCACGCCAATTAATATTAAAATCACCAGCCAATATATTTAATTTACTAGAATAAAGGAATGTCTCGAGCCAGTTCTCTAAAACTTCAACAAAACGCTGGTCACTAGAACTGGGAGAATGATACAAAACACCATAATTACCCATCTTCATGCCACGTACAACTGTAATGCCCAAGAACCAGTTGCCATCAATAACTTCGTTGGTACGAAGGTTGAATTGAACTGATTCTTTGACATAAATAGCAACACCGCCAGTGTGTCTAGAATGTGAAATGTGATAAACAAGTAGCAACAATATATCCCGGAATACTATACTGATCAAAAGCTCCAGTTTCTACGATAGGATTTTTAGATAATAAAACTAAAAGAGGACGTTTTTCCTCAACAATCTGACGTAATGCTACGTAGTTTGTTGACAACCCCGCAATATTTAAGTATAAAAAATCGAATTGATTCACATTCCTGGAACTTGGCTGCTATTTATTGAAACGCAAGCTGCTTTTCTTCTGATCAAAAAGTCTTTTATAGAGCAAACATTCCGAGCTAAATGCTAATACATTTCAATGCAGTTAACGTACACTCTGACGTTTTGTGTTGTTGGCTGCACCTAGAGCATCTATCACAATTTTTGCAATCCATGCTCTTGTGTCAAATTCGCAGATAGAGGAATTACCTAAGGGGAGTTTCACTTTTAGGCTGTGAACCATTTGCCGAGTTAAATTTAACTCGTGGTTAAAAGTGACATTTCGAAAGTTATTTTCTATGTTCGAAAATCCCCGTGCTGTCGATCGACCGGTTTTCGAGCCACGGTTGTCAAAATTTAACTTCTTGTCTGTCAGAAATAACCATGCTCGGATAGCAGGGTTAGGCTCTGAACCATTTGGTAGATTATTTTAACTTTTGGTTAAAATTTGACAGATGAAAAGTTATCGATTAACCCTGCTATCCGAGCGTGGTTACTTCTGACAGACAAGAAGTTAAATTTTGACGACCGTGGCTCGAAAACCGGTCGATCGACAGCACGGGGATTTTCGAACATAAGAAATAACTTTCGAAATGTCACTTTTAACCACGAGTTAAATTTAACTCGGCAAATGGTTCACAGCCTTAATCGATAACTTTTCATCTGTCAAATTTTAACCAAAAGTTAAAATAATCCACCAAATGGTTCAGAGCCTTAGGCTGTGAACCATTTGCCGAGTTAAATTTAACTCGTGGTTAAAAGTGACATTTCGAAAGTTATTTTCTATGTTCGAAAATCCCCGTGCTGTCGATCGACCGGTTTTCGAGCCACAGTTGTCAAAATTTAACTTCTTGTCTGTCAGAAGTAACCACACTCGGATAGCAGGGTTAATCGATAACTTTCCATCTGTCAAATTTTAACCAAAAGTTAAAATAATTCGCCAAATGGTTCAGAGCCTTAGAATGCCCATAGAGTTCTCCAGATGCACAAAAGTGTGTGTGAGAGCGCGCGCTACCTTTTTAAGTATTTGTTATATCGCGATACCTGTTTGGTTCTTCTTCTTTTTGATTATTATATATGGATGTTGAATTTTAGTGTTCGTGAGATTGCGCTTGGAGATCTCTATTGAATAAGCATTTAATTTAAATCAAATACATTTAATTTCCATCGTTTGCATCAACCATTCAGTGGGATGTGAACATCAAAACAAAGTATGCGCTTTTTCGGTGACACTTATAAATACACACATGCATCGAGGCGAAGATAAACAAACACAACAGGAAAAGAAAACTCGGAGTAGAGAACTCACGAAAATCTCCCTGAAACCTTCTCTGGCAGCAAAGAAACTCTCCAACGGAATCGTGCAAAAGCTCCCTCCGGAATTTCCCCTGCCAACATCAAAATCACGCAAAACCTGCTCCACCGAGAACGCGAGACAACTCCGTCATCGGAAATCTCCACCGAAATCATGCGGAAGCTCCTCCACCTAAAACACGAGAAAATACCGTACAGATTTCCTTTCCGTTGACAGCACCGAAAATCACCACCATGAATGCGAGAAAACTCCGTCGAAACTGGAATCTCCGCTGGCAGAATCAAAAACCTCCACCATGTGCAGAACCTCTTCCGTTGAGAACGTGAGAAAACTCCGTTAAAATTCCCTGGAACCTCCGCTGGCAGCATCATAAATCGCCACCGAAACCGTATGGAATCTCGTCCGCCTTGATCGCAAGAAAAAGCCATCGAAATTTCGCATTTTTTATGCAATTCGACAGTAGCATGCATAAGAGCGAATACGCGATGATCGATTCTCTTAATCGATTTTCTCTCTACATTGCTACAGCTAAGCGATACAATTTTCTAGAATTTGTTCAATGCAGAGTAGTTACAGGTTGTATTGCATATCAAAAGCAACAGCAAACGCACCGATAAACGTTAAATCTAGCGAGTTATTAACGAAAGAGAAAATCGACGAAGAGAATCGATCATCGCGTATAGGCCCTTATGCATGCTCACTGTCGAATTGTAATATATTTATTTGTCAACATCAATAGACTAAATGTAGCCCCAATGTATTTTATTTAGTCAAACCAAATCAAACGTAATCCTGGTGGATGAACCCTTTATCAGAACAAGACAAAGTTCCTAGAACCTTCGTTGGCAGCTACTAGAATCGTCTTCGAAAACATGCAGAATTTAATTCGACAGTGAGCATGCATAAGGGCCTATACGCGATGATCGATTCTCTTCGTCGATTTTCTCTTTCGTTAATAACTCGCTAGATTTAACGTTTATCGGTGCGTTTGCTGTTGCTTTTGATATGCAATACAACCTGTAACTACTCTGCATTGAACAAAATTCTAGAAAATTGTATCGCTTAGCTGTAGCAACGTAAAGAGAAAATCGATTAAGAGAATCGATCATCGCGTATTCGCCCTTATGCATGCTCACTGTCGAATTCGCCGAGAAGTCACAAAAAATCCGTTGAAACTTCCAGAAATTCCCGCTGGCAGCATCCAAAATCACCGAAATCACGCGGAACTTCGTCTATCGATAAAGGAGGGGAAAATGCCTGGAGCTTCCGTCTGCAACATCCAATCTCTTCACTGGTATCGTGCATATCCACTTTCGCCGACAATGCGTGGAAACTTCGTCGAAAGTCTCTGGGAACCTCCGTTGGCAGAATCTGAATTTTCTAGGGGAGTTTCGACGGAGTTTTCAGATATTCACGGCGAAAGAGGGTTCCAAGAGATTTTGGTGGAGATTTTCGGTGCTACCAAAGGAGGTTCCAGTGAGCTTCGACGGAGTTTTCTCGCGTTTTCGGTGGAGGCGGCTCTGCACGATTCCGGTGGAGATTTTTAATGCTGCCACCGAAAATTTCAACGGATTTTTTCTGCGCAATAATTTTCTCAAGTCAAGAGTGTGGATTTGAGCGAACTGAAGTGAACAACAAAACAGGACAAAACTTTTCATGTATACATGCATGGATTAGTGGGAGGTGTCACTTACAACTACACGCAACCAAAAATGCACTGAGAAAATGCATTTAATTTTTTTGTTATAATAAATGCACCTCAAGTGATCTGCCCCTAGGGAATGACTCTTCTATCATTTGGTATAGTTTGCTTGCGAACTTTAGCATTTATTCGCAAGCAATCGGTGATTGACGTGCTTGTTTACAAAAGCAATTTCACCCAAATCTCAAAGTGTTCTCCGAACTGCCAGATTTTTTAGGATTTAAGGGCCACCCACATTAGATCCGTTTGCGTTGCGTTGACGTAAATTTTACAGTTCGACAATAGATTTAAGGCCCAAACGCAATATAAGCGGAAGCGGAACGGAAACGGAAAGTTTGACAGTTGTCACTAATGACATCAAGATGCCTAACCGAAGTCGACTTGGATCCAACTAGTTTTCAATACGACAAGTAGGCTTACTCAGATCGGGCTTTTCCGCTGCCGTTGCCGTTCCGCTTCCGCCGTTTTTGAATGCAATCTTTACTTTTCTTAAATTCAGGAATTTTTCCCTGGAAAATCCTGGAAAAACCTGGGAAAACATGAGGCAAATTAACTCATCGCTGAGTTCCTGCACTTTTGGCGATTATGAGTGAACTAAACTCAAATTTGAGTCGTTTTCATTCGCCGTGTAGTAATGCTCAAACCAAACCGAAAGGCCTTTATTAATGCATTGTTCCATCTTATCACATTAACAAAAAAAAAATCAAAATCCACCAACTCAAGCTTTCAGCGAATCCAAATACTCCTGATAGCGCTTCTCCTGCTGTTGCTGTAGTTTTTGCAGCTTCTTCTGCTGTCCCTTGCTGACCTCCTTCCCATCGGCATCGTGCGTCGGCAGTCCACGCTCGTCGAAGGCGGAATACTTGTCCGTCTCGCTGCGGAACAAATCCACCGGGTTGATCTTCCGCTGGGCATCCTTTGCGGCCTGGGCAGCCGCCGCTTCGGCCTTCTTCCGTTCCTTCTCGGCTGCTTTGCGAGCTTCTTCTGAGCGTTTGGCTTCCCGTTCCTTAAGAAGCACTTCCCTATCGACCAGCTTCAGGGCGGACGCATTGCCTTCGCGATCTTCCAGCCGGACACCAAGGTTCGGGAGGATATCGTCGCGGATTTGATCGCACAGTTGAAGAATTTCGGTCGCCTTCAGGGTGCGCGCTTGTTCGCGGACGGCCGTGCGGAAATCGGACAGGACTGCCAGGTAGGGCATGACCGTTTCTTCGAGCTGCAAATAGACAAAGAAGATTGTTTCAATTATTCAATTTTCTAGCGTTAAAGGAAAAGTCCTTACATCAGCACTTCCGGAGTTTCCTCCCACCGGGAAACCGATCCCTCCGCGAGGCCCACTAATGGCACCGAAAATGTGCAGCAAGTCGGTAATATAGCTGGCGATTCTTCTCAGAAGCAGTGCGTTCAGCTGATTTTTGTGATCACGAATGTAGACATTACTATGGGACACCAAATCTCGGATAGCATCCAAAGCCGTCCGGGTATCGACGTTGTCGCATAGAGCTTCATGAACCGCTTCCTTTATGCTGTTCAGCTTCTGCTGAAGATCTGATTCTACGGCAGTCCAAAGGTTAAACTGATCACGCGGTTTTCCGCTAACAACGTGTCGGGTTAAATCTTTTACGTTGAGGAAGAACTCGTTCAGGAATCGTTCGTACTGAACGGCCATTTCCATCGTATTGTCCGAGTAGTCCAAGGTGTCCTTCCAGGAATGCAAGAGGAAAGCCAACCGAAGCTGCGTGACAGTGTGCTTCTGAAGTGCTTGCTGAATAGTCACAAAGTTCTTCAGGGATTTGGACATCTTGCACCCGGCGATTGTCAAATGTCCCGTGTGGAGGAAATACTTGACCCACTCGGAGCTACCGTCATGCGCTTCGCTCTGGGCCAACTCGTTATCGTGATGGGGGAATTTCAAATCCACCCCTCCCGTGTGAATGTCCAAGTAGTTGCCACAAATGTCGGAAGCCATCGCGGAGCACTCGATATGCCATCCGGGACGTCCTTTTCCCCATGGGCTATCCCACCACGGTTCCCCAGCTTTGCTGTTCTTCCAAAGGGCGAAATCATTAGGCGAACGCTTCTCCGACAGGCGCTCCTCCGTCGAGCTAAGATCTCCTTCTCCTTCCTGCAAGGACTTGGCATCCCCATAAGCTTCCGGAACCAACTTAGCATAGTAGTGCTTTTCGCGTTTGTCGAATCCGCCAACATCGAAATAGACCTACAAGATGAAGAAACACCACATCAATAAATGCCACATCCCACATTAAATTTACACACTCACCGATCCATTCGCCTCGTAAGCCAGCCCGTTGTCGATAATTTTCTGAATATACTCGACAATCTGCGGCACATATTCGCTCACCCTTGTCAGCACATCGGGCGACAGAACGTTGAGGGCATTCATGTCCTTATGGAATTCATCTTCCCAGTACCGTGGCAACGTTTCAAAGATCGAATTCTCGCTCACCGAAGCTCCTTCCTTCTTATCCAGCAGGTCCGACAGGGGATCCTTCGAGTCTTCCAGAAACCGGCTCTGAGCTTCCTTCACCTGTTCCTTCTCTCCACTCTTCACCGCTATCGTCAGATTGTCCACCGCCGCGGTCAACTTCTCCAACATCCGTTCCATCATCGCCTTCTTGTCCGGATCGGTCGTCTTACTCAGATTCCCTTGGAACGCCTCCATCACCTCTTTGTTATCCTCCAGCAGTTTTTCCAGCGACGTTGTCCTTTCCACATACTGTTCGTACAGGTAGTTCTGCCTGGCCCGCTTGATAATCTTATCATCGATGTCAGTAATGTTCATCACATACAGAACATTGTACCCGAAGTAATCCGTCAGCACCCGTCTCAGAATATCAAAGCTAATGTACGACCGGGCATGGCCCATATGCGACGCATCGTACACCGTCGGCCCGCAACTGTACCACTTCACATTCCTACCATCCTTCGGCACAAACAGTTCCTTCTGCCGGGTCAAACTGTTGTACAGCCGAAGTTTGGGTTGCTCCTTCGAAGGCACCGGAGTTTGCCACGTCGGTTGTACACGTTTCGCCATATTTCTTCGCACTACTGCTAGGTATCACACTTCAGTACACTTTGTCACTTATAACTGGACCTTGCTGAGCAGATGTTTAACAATTTTATTTGATAATAATCGGACACAAACAGGAAGTTGTTTTGGATTTTCTACGATCGTAAAGTAGAAAATCCGGCATGCGATTAGTCACTGGCAGATCGGAGTGGATTTTTGACGCAAATTTTGTTAACACACTGACAGATTACACGATTGCATGCGCTGGCTCAGAGATTGGGAACGGAAGATTTCGATGATGGTAAAGAAGGTTAGAACATAATATGCTAAAATCATCAAGGTTTTTTCAAGGGGGGGAGGTGGCTGTCAAATACGAACAATCGTCGCCTACCTCGCATGCCTCGCGAAACTGGTTCCAAACGTAAACACGCCATAAGAAACATACAGCGTTTGTTTACGTTTGGAACCAGTTTCATACAGGCTTGCTTCCACTCACTTGCCATAAAAACATGATTTTCTGAATTTTGAAATCATTAGATGTTATAATCATATTTTGTACTTGTTAGGTACAAGAAGAGGTTGAAAGGGAAGTGTTTGACACATGCAAGCTGTCAAATTCGCTTTCATATAGTCACAATTAGCGATTTTACGACTCGCTAGCGCTCACTCTGAGTGAACGCTCACGAATCATAAAATCGCTTATTGTAACACTCTGGTAGCGAAATTGACAGGTTTTATGTGTCAAACACTTACCTTTCATCCGCTTCTTGTATGTAACAAGTACAAAATATCATTATAACATCGAATGATTTCAAAATTCAGTAAATAATTTTTTTATAGCAAGTGAGTGGAAGCAACCCTGGTTTCATACAAGAATGATCAGTAGGCTGATTTGACAGCACGTCCCCCCCCAGGGTTTTTTTTCTGAAAAAATAAGGGCGAGCGAAACGAGCAACACTGATAAAGAATCCACTGGCAAAAATACTATATTGCTGGTTTAAATTAAATACCCTCACCAATAGATTTTTGCAGAAAACAATTTCATTTCTATCAAAATAACAATGCATTTTGAGCAAGCATAGTAGTTTTTTTAGAGTCATAGTAAATTTGCTTATATTCATAGTTACACACTCAGAAAATAATACCGAACTCGATACCCGAATATCGGTAAAATTTGACAGATAGAACTGAAGGCTGAACCGAAAAGTACGGTAAAGTATCGACATTTACGAAATCGGTACGTGAAAACTGGGAAACTCGGTAAACTGAACAGAATATTTGCTAAAACGTGCTAAACGTCAAACGCTTAAACGACAAATGTTCCACTTATGCGCTCAACTTCATGACGGAAATTTTAACTCGGTTCTCTAAGCTGAGTCTATATTTTTTCTCGCGTGTCCTCGTTGGACGTGTGCAACAATTCAGTGAAAATGGAAAAAAATTCTGTTGCAGCTGCAACAGGAGGATGCACGTTTGATTGAAATTGTTTGTAAGTATTTGATTCAAGGAAATTTTGGAAGAGTTAATAAAAATTATAAATATTAGCATCTGTCGCATCCCATAACTAGTTTTATTTTTATGAAACATCCTTAATCAAAATTTAAAGCAGGATTTGTAGTGAAAACTGAGCGCTGCCCAAAAAAAACCAAATTCTGTTATTACAACAGGTGGGTCTGTTTGTTTGACAGCGTACGGTTATTCTTGAGTAAACCGAGATTTTCGGTAACTTTGACACTTTGTGGGTAAAAAAAGAACTAACGACAGCTCGGTTATTCCTCTTTGAACCGAACAGACTACCGAACGTTCAGCAGATAAAAACTCCACGAATAGAAATGTCCTTATACCTTTTGGCAAATTTCCATTGCTGATTATTCATAAAATGTATAAGTCAACTAATAAGCAGACGCCTTGCAAAAAGTTAATAAAGATCATGTGTCAAATGAAATGTATAAGCGGTCACACATACCTTTTATGCATTCTAATAGGACCTATGTGGTTTGTCTTATGGAATGTATAAGGCTGATGCTTTGGCAAAAATGTATAAGTGAAACACATGAATTAAATAATTGATTTTCGTTTCGTGTCGGTTGAAATCAAACCGAGTTCGGTATTATTTTCCAAGTGTGTAACGTTACCATAGAGGTAACTCTAAGACAAGAAGGACCCGAATAAACGTGCTCAACTTTTTGGCTCAGCTCTGGTACTATCTTCGGTCCCAAGCTAATCGATGCACCCCTCGAAACATAGGAAAATCCACTAGCCCCTCATTTTAAACATGGTGTAGTACTAGAAATTCAACTAGAATGGGTTACGTTAATCGATTTGCTTGGGACCAATAGGCTAAAGCCCTACAGTAAAAGTATGGACGACTGACACCACAAAACTGAAAAAAGCTGTTCCAATCGAGCAAAGCGGTGCATTTTGACGGTTCGATTGGAACAACTTTTGACAGACGTCCATACTTTTACTGTAGGGCTTTACAATAGGCTAGTCAAGTAGTGAGCCAATTTAAAATCGTTAGTTTCGAATTGATTGTTGACTTTATTGAAATCATAGTAGATTGAGCGATAATAAGTTAAATTGAAAATAAGTGTTTTCTGCAAAATAGTATTCCTAACTATGGTCCGAGCCTGCTTAGGACCGAAGATAGTACCAGAGATGAGCCAAAAAGTTGAGCTCGTTTCTTCGGGGCCTTCTGGTCTTAGAGTTACCTCTATGGTGATAATCTCAATGCTGTTATCACTTATCTGGTTTGCTCATCCCCATCACTCTTGCGTATTCGGTGGTAATCGATGACGATGATGACACTGACGATGGCATGATTATGGTTTCACTAGTACGTAGTGGGAGAGAGGTAAACCAATGGTACTGCTCAAGATCGTCTTATCAGTGTGAGGGTCTTCATCAACTGAGCTGGTGTTTTGGACGATGACTGTGTGATGATGACAGGGATGCAGTTGGATGGACCATCAACTCATCAACAAGGCTATTATAAAGAAAAATAACTTAATTGCAATTAAAACAAATCTGTTGATAATGGCTGACGTTAGTGTGTTTGTAAATATGACAGTATGGCAGGCAGTATGGAAAAATTAAAATTTAGGCTCCTCAGTTATTTTTTGAGTAAATACGAGTAACTCACATTTACTCAATGTATATAAATTAGCTCAGATCTAGGCTCAGAGTATAGCTGGTATAGCTGACTTGCCCCTAGTATTTATTTGATCGAATTATTTTATAGCGAATTCGTTTATTATCGGGGTTGGAACCAGTTCCAACCCAGTGTGAAACCGAATTTTTTGTCAGTGCTAACCTCAACCTGAGCTGGGTTTTAAAAACAAACGATCAAACTGACGTTTGTCAGAGAACAAGCAGACCCAATATTGATACCCGATCCAGGTTGGAACTGAATAATAAACGAATTCGCTATTAGTTTCATTTGAAATTGGGTTGTTTAACTTCCAAAAATATACCGATTTTTATACATAATCTCATAGAGCTTCAATTTGCTGAGCACAACGATAATTTTGTCGATCCCGTAGACATTCATCTCGATTTTTAAATCAAAATTTAAATTTTTGATCGTTGACACTAAATCTATTCGTTGACAGCTCGCACCCATACAAAGTCCCACAAAGGGGCGCTAAGATGGTGATTTTTGCTAATGCTTCATTCTTATTTAAAATAGGTCCAGAGTACCAAAATTTATGAAATTTTGGATTTCGGTTCCATTTTTAATGCAGATAACGAATATGTATTTTCCTCAATACCCCAAGGGGTTGGTCACTCTACACAGTGTGCCAAAATCAAACTTGGGCACCCCCGGGCGTCGTCATTGACGCTGTTTGGCACCCATGGTTACAAGTCTCGCTATGGATTCTCAAAATCGTTACACCCGTGACGGCAGTCGCATCCACATTTCCGACGAAGAACAGATGACAGCGGTATCTTGACCTGACCGAGGTTTCCGGCCATGGCTACACGAACTAACGATGCAGCTTTCACGGCTTCCAATTCTGCTGCTGGTCCGTCTTTTTTTAATGAATTTTAGAGTAGACGGACCAGCAGAAGGAACAGCAGCAGCAGCAACTAAAGCAGAAGCAGCATAGGAAGCAGCCGCAGCCGTGGGAGCTGAATCGCAAATTCGTGTAGCTGTGGCAGACGCTGGAAATCTCGGGTTGGTCACGACAAGCGGTGCTTGAGTTCTAATCGGAAAGTCAACCAAACAAAAACTATACCATCCGACCATAAGAACTGCTCGAATACATCCATCGCCACCACTACTACACCACCAGCACTTCATGATGGCGTTCACCGCCAGGGCTACGCTCGGGAACTCAACCAATCCGGAGGAGGAAATTTCCGATATCAGAGGGAACATTCGCACTTGCGACGGGTGGCAGTCCTTGGTGGTGATTGCAGTCAGCAGCAGATCCTCGGACAGCATACGGGTGGGGTATTGAAGAAGTGGTGCGATTTTTGCTGGCCTGGGAAGTGATTGTTCTTGGAGGCGTTGTAGACCTTGAAGCTGATCGAATTGTGCGGCAGGGTGTACGTTCGACTGCGATGGCGTTCCCATCTAGATCATGGCGGCACCCTCTTTGGTCTTCAGGAACTTTATTCTGACAACATTTCCATACAGGAAGGACAGATTGAACAGCTTATCGGTGTTGGCTGTGTTGTTATCTAGTCCGTAGACCATCATCACTGCGCCCTGTTGCTGTGTGGATTGGATGAAGTTGACTGGTCCGTTTCGGGTCAGCGATGCGTCCTACATCAGTCCGACGTTTGTTCCGGCCGGTGTTGGTTTCCAGTTCTCCGACGGATGATACTCGGGCGGTGACAAATTCGGTGCAAATCCTCCGCCGGCTCCCAGAAGGACTGTGTTGGAAATTGCCAACAGATTACCGGACGGGATGATTTCCGAAATAATAATAAAGCAGAGAGACGACCGATAGTTAGGATTTATGTTTGAGTTGCGCAGTATTACCTCTATGGTATTATCACAGACAAACAGACATAACACATTGAATATTTCTCACTGTAAAACATCGTCGCTAAAACATTGACGCCATCTGTTGAATACACTGTGGTGGGTAGTACGCTGAACAGATGGCGGTAGTGTGCAAACGTCAAACGCAAGGGAATTTACTATGCGCGCCACAGGTGGCGGTGCTACCAACTA